GTAATATATGTAGTTAAATAATAAACTTAATATTATAAATTGTCTATATTATTCATTATATAAATATATATAATAATTTTAATTTGTTTTATCATTATCAAAATAAATATGAAACTTTGAGGCTAATATACACCGAGTCTACAATTGACCCGAATAAAAAAACAAGCTTAAAACCCAAAAATCCACGTACCTAAATCGATTTGCAAACTCAAAATTGTGAATCCAAGCCAGGAAAACCAGATTTTGTGCTTTAATCAGATCAAAATTGATCCAAAAGCTTCAAAAACTAGGTAGAATCGATCAGCTGTTCGTGAACCCAATCGGCCAAGAAACCTTCAATTTTTCTCCAATCTCTCTCTAAAACACCAAATTGGTTGAAGGAAACCAATTTTCATCATGTAACGCACGTAGATAAGCCATCAAAAGCTAGAAAAGTGACTCAAATGATCACGGTATGGGCTTCCATTATCCGTCCACTGTTGGACCATGCCCATGGATTTTGTTCTAGATCCAATAATCCCAACCTTTCATTTCTTTCAATTTCACCCCCTAAACTTTTAATTGAGTCCCTACATCTTTTAATTTCTTCAATTTGACCCCCGAAAAATTTCAATTGAGCCCTAAACTTTTCAATTTTTCACATCAGCCCCTAAACTTAAAATTACTGAGCCCTCCTGCATAACAAATTGACCCCCAAAAATTTAATTCTCGCAAATAGGTCCCTAATCCCAATTAATTGATAAAAACAAAATTGTAATAGATTTTTGGGTCATAACATTGATTACCTCCGTATGCACCATATGAAGTAAAAGTTTGTTCTAATTGACCAAGGTGTAAACCAAAATGTTGGGCCATCAACTAAAAGTTCTAACAAGGTCAAATTGAAATGGAATTTTGGGGCTTATAATCAATAGAAAGTGGTGATCCGAATAGTAAGGGTTTCATATTGATCTAACGAGTTCATCGGGTTGACATCAACATGATGTCATGATGACATCACCTTATAATAAATTACATCTCTATACTACATTATTGATATTTGTTCGGGTCAGAAAGGTTATGATGCCCAGTTAAATTTATAGAAGAGGAGCAATCTAAGGCTTGTAAGAGATGAGACAAAACAAGATGTCGAGAACAAAACACACAAGTTAAATTTTGTCCTATTAACAAGCTAAGCAAAATTTAATAGCAGGGTATGAGATGCACAATTGCAAGAATACCCTTCCACTAATGATTAAGTTACAATCGACTATCAATCTCTCCTTTCAACATAATCTAAATTTTCTCTCTCTAATTTTTTTTAAACCTTTTCCCCATTTTTCAATTCTCCTTTCAAATTTTTTGAATTTTGTCACTCAAAAACTTTTTCTGTCTAATTTTTTTTTATTCTCTATTAAAATTGAGTTTCTCTAATTTTTTTACTTTCTCTCTCTAAATTTTTTCAACTCTCTCTCTATAAAATATTTTCATCTTTTCACTGTCTTAATTTTTTTCCCCCTTAAACACAGTGAGATTTTTTACATGAGTTGTATCATAAACAATCACAACGATTGCCTTTGCTATTAAAAGAAAACTGCAAAGAACAAATTAGGGTGCTCAAGTACACTCCATATGTTCAATGTAAGACAGGTAAAAAGCCTATGACCACTGAAATTTATAACAAAGTACTTTCTGCAAAATCATATTTCTTCACCTCATCTCCTTTAATAATGTTAATATGCACACGAGGTCTGTTTTAAAGATTTCTTTTTTTTAAAAAAAAAAAAAAAGAGACATGAAGTTATCTATAAGATGAAATGTATAAGTTCTCCAAACAGGGAACAAGACACTGATATGGTATATGTATGAACACCAAACCCGCATCCCACCCCAAACAACCACCCCCCCTACCCTGGCGCCGGCGGTTCCTCGTGATGGAGCTTTTACAAACCATCAGTGTTTATCATCCCATCTATGGTCGGATTCCTGCAGACAAGAGCATATTCGATAGGTTATATAAGCCCACAAAAAATGAGAAGAAAAAAGGAAAAAGAAATTACAGTATCCAAGTCATTTGCATTAGAAAAATTTATCCAACTAAACTCATACAATCGCAACATGGCAAATTGTGGTGTAATCCGAATAGAACAAGAAGTTCCATGACAAGCAATTCGACCAAAGAGAAGAGAACATCTTTAGGAACCACTAGCTGATAATTTTCAACCAGCCCATTAACATTGAAGCAAAACATGCACACTTCTAAACAAAACTTTCTACAAGAGAGAACATCAGCCTTTAAGAAGTCAATTTGTAGATATTTCCTTAGAGATTATTAGTTTTACACAGAAAAAAACTTTCTAAATCAGCCTATTAAAATAGAATATTGACCAGTAATGTTCCACAGTAAAAATCACGAAGCACCCCATTATGTGCAGGATGTGTTTTCAACCCAACTCTTCACATATATTAACAACAACGTCTAGAATCAATCAATCTTTCCTCATTTTGTGCCACCCCCACACCTTGGGATCAAACAGGGTTACCGAAATTCAATCAATCAATTAACCAAGCCTTGTCCCAACTACATAAGAAAATCTGTCCCCAATTACTCGATTATAAACTATCTTTTTCAGTTTCAACCTAACAACTTGCATCATTTTTTGCCATCGTATCCAAAGTTAGTTTGGTCTCACTCTACCTGTATCGTCACCCTCAGTATAATGTGGAGAGTGAGCCTCCTCTCCACAGAATGGATGCTCAGAGAATGCCTCTCATCTGTTAAAAGTGACCAGCAAGTTTTCCTCTCAGCAAGATCTTATACAGCAACGAAATCCTATTTAACTGTCTCTCAACTCCATACGATTCAGAAAGGTTTGGAATACTTGTTAGATCTGTAAATCGCAGGTGAAATAGTACTTGGTGCTCCGTGCTTCTCTCAGTTGTAAAATCAACATATTCCTAAGCTCAACACATGAAAGGTTTTCCCCATCTGGTAAACTATCAACCATTCAAACTTTCCCACTTAGCACCAATTTTGGATGAGCAAATAAATATTGATTCTTGTTGATCAAACTGTATACAATCAAAGTGAGATTGAATTGCCACATTAATCATTGGAACAACAAATTGAAGTACAAAACTTAACAAAAGAATTAACAAAAAAAACGTAAATAAACTTAATAATTGACATGCTATTATCCACTCAAACTGACATAAATCCAACATCAACTGATCTCTTTCAAGCAGAAGTATCCCACAATCAATTATGTATCAACAGCAAAATACGCAAGATAAACACAGTTTTCACCATAGTCCCAGTTCCGATCACCTTCAATCAATCCTTTTACGCAAACAGTAACTAGAAACTTAGCTCCAATATGCAAAAAGAAAGGGGCTCAGCAAGCAGAGAAGGCTAATAGAGCAACATGAATCAAGGCCACTGAACTCATTACTCACTTCTCAGCTTCACGCAGGCATTTGTAAAAGCAGGAAACTAGAAAACGGATTCTACAGAAATGTTACTTTAATAATTAATTCACAATCAAAAGGACTCTCATAAACTTAAACTGACATAATGAATCATCAACAGCCAAGTCGTCGCTACATCTCTTAATTAAATAAAACCCAAAATCAAGTTCGCATCAACAATAAATATAACTAAAAATTAGAATTTCTTTCACAGAATTCACATTCCTCATTACCTTGATGCAATCATTTCATTGGCAAAATGAGCAGCAAACACAAGTATGTTTGATAAAACACATGTAAGCACTACAATAAGCACTTAAACTTTCATGTTCAGACTTTAGAAATTCAACGTTCAACACCTAAACTTTCAGCCTCACCAAAGCCGGGCAGTTGCAAATATATTGTTGGAAAATGGAGCAGGTCACCCATGTGAGTTAACCCGACTCAACCCATTTTACTGAATGACTACAGATAAAATGAGAATAAATTTTTTAATTTAAAAATAGGAAAAAATCACCCTTAACTATTTAGATACATAACATTTTATATTTATAGAAGAAAAAAAATACTTTTATCATTTTAATATAATACACACACAAAGAGATATTAGCAACACAAACTTTGTATTTAAATTGTGAGAAAATAAGGCTACTTTGATCATAAGCATTTTTAAACCAAGGCATTTATTGAAGTAATGCGAAAGATCCTAAGCCAAACGATGTATACTTGGAATTTCATTCTTCATATATCACTACAAAGATATACAGAGACAGGGGGAGGGAGAGAGGGGGCCAGGTAATCAAAAGCCAGTGAACTGAACTCACTCTTTGTTCATTCTTTCCATTTAAATAAATAAAATAAAATCACTTCTTAATTTTGTTTGATATTGTTAAAATATCCAACAACGAAATTAGTTCAATCGCTAAGAACAGGGCTGCAAGTTTAGTCAAACGCATTTCATCTACGGCTGAATGTTAATTTATATTTTCAGATTTTAAAAATTCAGTTTTTAACTATTTTGTTACTATAACTTCGGTGATATTTATATCATCCTAGTTGCCTTTTTTGTAATTTAAAAAAAAATCTCATATTTTACTGCTTTTTAGTTTATTTTTCAAAAACTGGTTTTTTCTTTTGTTTGGTTGTCTAAAAAAATCGTATTCAAACTCTAAAAAGTAAAAATAACTACGCTCAATTTGTCACCCGTTTGACTGTTGACAGAGAAAAAAATTTTTAAAAAAATAAAAACTCAAACAAATCCTGGAAGAAACGAATAAGCTTCATTTTGACAGTTTCTTGGATTTACAGCTTTTTTGTTTAATTTAACAGGAAAAAGTTAGAACCCACACCACCCCCCCCCCAAAAAAAAAAAAAGGAAAAAGAAAAAAAAAAAAAGGATGAACTCTTTTTCTGTTAACCAAACAGCGCCTAACATTTGGTTTTACAAACAGAACTTATTATACAAAAAAACCAGTGAACTGAACTCACTTCTTGTCCATCGTTTCATTTCCCAACCAAAAAAGAAGAAGAAGAAGAAGAAGAAGAAGAAGAACTCACTTCTTGTTCCGACGACCACGCTTGACCCCCCACCCCTCCAGCTTGGCGACGGGGCAGCCGCACTTGGCCAGGAAAAGCAGAGCAGCCCTCCCATTTGGCGGTGCCACCTTCCTCAGCTCCACCCTCAAGCACTCGTAATCTGGGTTCCCCTCGCCACCCTTCCACGGCAGCTCGTCGATCTCTCTCACCTCTGGCGAGTAGGATCTCAGGCACTCCTCCGTCTGCACCTTCAGATCGAACTGGAACGCCTTCTTTAGCCCCCTGCAATGCGGGTTTTCGCACTTTTTCCCCCTGCAGATGTCGAAGAAAAATACATAGATAAGGAAAAGGAGCAAGAACCCAATAAAGTAGACCACCGGAGAGTCGCCGAGGAGGAGAAAGAGGGAGTGGCGAATGTAAGAGAAGTAGGATAAGACGAGGTAGCCGCCGGAGAAGAGGACCAGAATGAGGATGAGAATGTCGAGGAGGGAGGAGGAGGAGGAGGAGCAGGGAGGGGCAGAATTGGAATTCCAGCTGGAGCTTCTCTTGGGTTTAGAGAGAGAAAGCTGTGAAGAGGAGAAAGAGGGGGAAGGGAAGGGGGCCATGGAGACAGAAGAGAGAAGGGAATGGCGCATGTTAGTGCGTGGAGAAATGTTAAAGAGGATGGGGGTAGGGAAGTCACGGATGGAGGTTTTGAGCCGCAATGTGGCTGCCGAAGGAGAGCGAGGGGGGATTGAAGGGGTGCGCATGTCAGCCAAGCGGGGAAGGTGACCGTGAAGGTCGGCCAGATATGGTGACCCTTGAATTTGTCTTTACCCCTCTTACCTGTCTCTCCCCATTTAATTCACCACTGTTTCGGTTGTTTACAGGCCGTGATATTTTTAGGTTTTTGTTAAAACAATCAAAGCATTAATTTCTAACGTGTGAAAATAAATCATCAATTTGTCGCATCAAATTGAGCTCATTCGTCTCCCACCATCCACGCCAGTTAATTCCAACTAGCTCGGTAGAAGTTTAATAAATTCCTGAACACTAACTCTTTTGGGAAAAAAAAAAAAAAAAAAATTGAGCCCTTTCTTGTTGGTGACTCAAACAAGCTTCCTAGCCTTGATCCATTTAGATGCCTAATCTAAAGCCTACGAAAAGAATAATTAAAATTTTATATTTAAACTAACCTAAAACTTAATTAAAATAGTATAATATTTGGAAGGTTTATTCAAAAGTTATAAATTTAACATTTAACTCTCCTCTAAATTAGAATTAGACATCCGATTTAAAAAAAAAAAAAACAAGAAGAAAACTTTATAGTTGAATTAAACTTCTTTTTGCACCCCATGTTCCAGCTTTCTTTGTCAAGGAGGGGCCGTTTCTATATTGACACGTGTCCAGTGAATCTGGCCGAGTAAGAGAGGGACACGTGTCGAGCTCTGCTGGAGAATTTAAACAAATATCTTTCTTATTGGTTTCGTTTCCGGGTGCCGTCAAATCATCCAAATTTTTTAGACTGATTTGATGGCAACTTTTCCTTTAATGATTAAAAAATAGAACAAACTTGTGAGAAAACATTTACGGTGAACACTCCGGTGCCCTCCCAAAAAGGAGGGCACCGGTACGAGGATGGCACCGTAAAATTTGTCAGCATTTACGGATGTCATCTTCTCATATATGTGTTTTATGTCTCATTGTTTTTCTTATATATATAGGGATTAATTTTTGAAACTAAATTAATTTACATGAATGATTTTTATATATAAAAAATATATAAAAAAGATATAAGAATTAATTATTGTAAAAAAATTGATTTACATAAATTATTTTCTACTTTTTACTCACACATATATATGGAAATTAATTCTTAAAAAAATTAATTCATGTAAATTATTTTATATATATATATACATATATATGAAAAAATGAAATAATTTATATAAATGTATTTCTTTCCAATTTTATTTTTTTCCATGTGCATATCAGATGTGAATTAATTATAAGAAATGAATTAATTTACATAAGTTATATATTATTTAATACTCCTATAATAAAATAATACATATATATTCTATTTTGTATTAAGATATAATATATTATGATGTGATATTTAATTTTTATTTAATAATTTATTGATTTAATATATTATTTAATATTCATATAATAAAATGTTATTTTATTTAATTTATTGTCTTATTTAACTTTTTAACATAGTTATATTAAAAGGGGTTTATATTGGGTATTTGATTTAAAACTCAAAAATTTTCAAATATTTGGTTTTATAGATCATGTAATCAATTTTTTTCAATAGTTAATCTTTATATGTTTCATTTATATATATAGGTATATATGTGTGTGTGTGTTAGTTTTCAATTTTTTTAAATCTTGAGTATTTTTTTTAGTTTTTTATCTTTCAATTCTTCTAATTAATAAAGCCATAATTGATTTATTACCCAAAGGGCTAATAACGGTGGTTTTGTCGTATTTTGCTTCTTCTTAATTAAATTTTTATGTTTTTCCAACAGTTTATTATGTTTTAAATCTTTAGCATTTTGTATTAATATGTTGAGTTTATAATGAAACTCTTTTATAAACTTTTTAGATTTAGGCTCCGTTCGGTTAGCCTGATAAGGGTTGAAAAGATAATTTTTATTAGTTTTATCACGCGTTCGGTTGACCTGTAACTGAACGGGATAAGGATATGTATCCGGCCTAGGCTAATATTGTATCTGTGGCTGAAGGGGGGATAAAACTTATCCCTGCTGATAAACTTTAGTGGAAGGACGAAAACACCCTTGCACAGCAGAGCAGAGCAGAAGCAGTTCTGGCGATGTTGTTCCACTGCAGTTCTGCCCCAACCATGACCACGACGACACACAAAAGGACGCCGGGCTCTGCTTGTGGCTGACGGGGATGAGGACGACAGGCTCCGCTCTTGGCCAACGGTGACGAGGACGATGGGCTCCGCTCATGGTTGACGACAAAGACAAAGACGAAGAATCCGATCAGAACTTCTGCATTTTTTTTCTTTTTTAAATCCGATCGGGACACTTGTTATTCGACCCCGCTGGAAGGACAACGACGTCGCCACCGCCGACGACGCAGAGCCCGGATGACGACCCATCTCCCTCCATCGTCTGATCCGAAACGACAACCCATCTCCCTCCATCATCCGATCCAAAGCAGTTCTGCGTCTAGATTGTTTTTTTTTTTTTTTTTTTTTTTTGCGTCTGAATTGTTTCTTTTTTTTTTTACCTGACTTGGGTTTGTTTTTTTCAAATCCAGATTTGGGTTTGTTTTTCTTCAAATCCAGATCTGTTTTTTTTTTAACTCATAAAAGGGCATTTTGATAAATTCTCACTTTTATCCTACATTTCAAAAATTTTATCTTATTTACTATCTGTTGAACCAAATATGTGATAAAATTTATCCTCTTATAAATTTATTCAGTTATATCGTTATCATCTTATATTCTATCCCTCCATTCGAACGTCCCCTTAACGTATTGTCACTGTTGGGATCTTTGTGAATGAGATTAATACTTCAAAATAATATTGAAAATATTGGATTTATAATTCAAAAAGCATACAACTTAATATTTTTTATAGTTTATTTTTTTATTTTGATCTTTATTTTGGTCATTTATCTCATTAATAAAAATTTTACTCATATCTTTAGCAGTCGCTGTCGACGTTGACCATGGAAAATTTGATAACTCATTTTAAAAAACCTTCAGGTGAACCAAGTGAGAAACTTTGGATTGATATGTTTACTACAAAGTGAAAAGGAACATAAAACAAGAGAAAAATTAAAAATCATATGAATTATATATTTTGATTTTATATTTTAATTATGTTTTAGGAATTTTTGGATTTTAACCTATTAATTGTCTTGTTTGAACCCAAATAATTTGGTAATATAAATTTCGTTATGTTTTTTAACTTTAGCTCCGGTATGATATTTTGAAATTATATCTTCTAACAAATGGACTAATTTTTTGCATTCATTATCAAGTGATATATAGTAACATTTAATAATTGTTTAAATGTTATTATATACAAGTTTTCTAATAATCATTTTATACGTTTTGAGTTATTAATATGAATTTAAGTTTAATAATTTTAAGAGTTTAGATTTTTTTTGTGAATTTGATTTCTAATAAGAATTTCAATTTAATAAATAATACTTGATATTTTATAATTGATACATTATTTTTATATAGTATTTAATTTTTAATTTTAATCCTAATACAATTAAATACAATCATTAATTACATTTTTAATGTTCAATTCATAGTTTGAATTAAAAAGCGCTGAGTCTAATCACCACATAAAATTTTTCGACATTTTTTCTAGTTCTCAACATAAATTTCAATATTATTTCATAACATTTCAAATTTAATATTTATAATTTTTGTATTCCACGTGACTTTTATTTAATTCAATAGAGTTATTATTCATAATATTTTTGTAATATCTATTTCTTTCTCACCTGTGCATCATATGGGCTTAAGCACTAGTATATAAAACAAAAAATATTTAATAAAATAAAAATAAAATAATCTTTTTTATTTAATTATAAAATTTAAAAAATAATTTTCTAATTTATTAAAAAAATATATATTGTTAAAACAATTTTATACATTTTAAAAAATAATTTTTATTATTTATTTATTTAATTTAAAAATTATAAATAATAAATATATAACTTATTTTAAAAAAAATTAAAAATAATTCGTAATATATTTTATATTTTCGAAATATATGGATAAGGTTAAAACTAAAATGTCCTTCAAAAGATACTTATTTGATATAAAATGAACTTATTTAAAATAATTTGAAAAAAAAGTATATAAAGAATTAAATTTAAACAAAGAATTTTTTATTATTTAATTGTAAAAATGATTAAAATAATTCATAAATATTTAAATATTTAGTTTGTAATTAAATTTTTTATGATCTTTTTAATGGGTTTTAAAATAAAATTTTATATACTTTTTATTCATTTAAAAGTTGATTAAACCCTCTTGCTTATCAAATGTACCAAACATGAGGCCAACCAAATCAAAGACACCCTTAGACAACTGAGAAATTTTCCTGTTTGATTTGGCCATTTTTTGTTTTTATTTTTAATTAACATAGAAAATAGTGTTGAAAATATGTTTAGCAAGTTGTTTTATATTTTTATTTCTAAAAATATTTTCTAAATTTAGTTGAATACTAAAAATAACAAAAAATTATTTTTAGTGCCATAGTCTAATCGTATAAGTGAAACAAAAAATTGTTTCACTAAAGTGAAAATGCAGTAGTATAATCATGATTTAGTAAATTTTTAGTGATTTTCTATAATTTATTACTCTCATGGTACTTTTCATTTTTTCTAGCAACTGCAATCAGCACAGAAGGCAAGGCACCAAGCTTCCTCTTGGACATTAATGGACCTCTTTTTGTCTCTCTCTCACCTTATGATCACTTTTTAGGTCAAACTCTGTCAGCGAACTCTCCTTTCCATTTCCTGCTGATTCAACACCAAGTTTAAGAATCAACTGAAACTTATCAAACCCCTGCTTGAGTGACAAATGGAAACGAAGCCACTAGGAGAGGGAAAATTGCTTACAAAGGAACCCAACATAGGTTGTCACTTGGGTCATTACTTATAGAGGAAAAAACCCTATATGGATTATCGCTTGTAGAGGAAAATGACACTAAAATTTCAACCTTAGAAATTAAAATTTCTTCAAATTGATTTAGAAGTATTGTTA